GGATATTTTCTTTAATAAGACATACAATACTTAAGAGATGCATAATGTCATTCACGTATCATTAACTGCCGCATGAATCATGGCTGTACAAGTCAAGTTGATGCTATCAATCCCCTAACTGTAACTGCTCTTAGTTGAAATATGTCATCAGCAACGCTCTTGTCTGAGTGATGCTTCAAACCTAAACAACAACAATCAAAAGGCAGTTTGTCTCTGGTGTTTATTGTTGACAAAGGTAAATAGTTTATAACCAATACTGAAAAAATTTGCTATTATTATTTAATTTTATGAAATAAAATTTACATAACCTAAACGAATTGCTTACAGTTATTGATTTACAAACACAGTAACATAAGCTACCGACAGGAAAAAAATAATTATGGAAGATGCTTTTTTTTTCTTCTTCTTTCATTGTATCAACTATTGCAAAGTATCAAGTAATTAATATTTCTTATAATCACAAAATCTGCCAAGAAATAGGCCTTCTCATGGTTGAAGTAACACCACAGGACTACCAGTTATTTCCCCCAAAGGCCCGCCCACATTGCAGGCCTTGCGGGCCTGAACATTATACCACTGCTGGGAGTGTGATTTGCGGTTTTGGGAGGTTTTGCGATTGCACGAAATATTAATTATTTTATACTTTGCAACAGTCGATTTAATAGAAGATTAAAAACAGCATCTTTCAGAAGAATGATTTTTCTCATTTCAGTAGCTGATGTAATCCTGTTTCTATATCAATTATTAAAAAAATACATTTATGTTTTATCAGTCTTAATTTCATAAAATTAAAAAATAAACGCAAATTTGTTTACTAATGGTTACTTAGATTGATTTAGAATGACAAAATTGAATTTGTTAAAGGGTATTTTTATTATTAAACGTACTAACAGTTCTTGTATTTGCTATACACTTTTGTAAAAGAAGCAGGAATCATGTTTTTTTGGGCAGACCTGCATACATTTCATTACACTATTGAGATGAAGGGTTCTATCATGTTGAAACATGTGCGGGAAATATTACAAGTAGTCTTTATTTTTCATATACTACCGCAATGTATGTGTACACAGAGGCCACATGTAATTTCAAAATTTATTCTTGTACTTTATTATCTATACTTTATTGACTTGCCAGATTTTAAAAGAAGGGAAAATTATGACATTCACTTACCTCATCATCATCCTCCATTGCTTCTCTCGAGGGGTAGGTCCTGTCTCCTTCCTGCAAACAAAGAATACACTACATGTTTACTACTGCACTGCATATACACCACACCAGGAAAGTCTCTCAGCGGTGGCACCTCGCTGGTGAGAGGGCTTCCAACAGAAATCATGTTGGTAGCACTAGCTGCACCTACAAAACGTAAAGTGCCTACTCACCACAATCGTAACAGATGCTGTATAGAAGCGTAGTTCCCTTCACTTGTTTCCCAGAGATCTGGTGGCTACCAAAATAAAAGCAATTTTTAATAGGAGGCCCTGATTTGGCTTGGTGCGGAGAGGCATTCTCGGTGCACTCTAAATGTATACATACGCATCTATATAAAAATTATGAATTTTGAAAGTACAAAATCCTCTCAATAACGTTTCAATTTTCAGAAAAAAGTTAATTTGGCCCAAATGACACTATATTTTAATTGCAGCTATTTATTTATTTACTTATTTTTCATTCTACTACTAAAATTTGATGTCTGTGCATGCAGCAACCACATCCAATCGCAATAGTGGCACACTAATGAACCTGTGAAAGTGTCTCAAGAACATTAATACATGTTTTTTATCAATATTTTGTTCACATTTCAATTCTGTCAACAACATGATAGACACAAAGCAATACAGCCATGCTGGCTACTTACAACACCCTAGTCTCCGATATGGCAACACGTGAGGAATTAACATTATTTACATTAACATTTACCACTGTGTCATATAGAACAAATACAGGGACAGAAAATAAAAAATAAATAAGTCACAGTTTATAATTTATTTGAAATTGCAAGTTTCCTTTTCTTCTGAAAGCCCGGAATTTCTTACCTTTGCATCATTATTGAGAGTTAAAAAGGGTATGCAAGATTTCTTCCACAATCTTTTGTGGCTTGTTTCAACACAAGCAAACACTACCTTCAACATTGTGTTTTAATGTTTTCTCACTCAAAATTGATTGCAAAGAAAAATATTTATGAACATTCCTCTGGCAGTCTACCTCCAAAAATAAAAAACACATCATGATCTTAAAAACAAATTGTCAGTTATCTCATATCTCCTCTATTTAACTTATTAAAGTACTGATTACCTTCCAGGTCTTCGCCCCCTAACAATTCAACACATGCTACACAGTAAAAATAGATAAGAATAGAATATAAATTCACACATTTTGGGAACTATTATGCATAATGGATAGATGCTTTTCCTACAAGAGTAATTAAATCTTTTGCAAAATCTATATCTAAACCACTAATATATATGTTTAACCTAATTATGAAAACTGGGAATTTTCCTAACCATTTAAAAAACGTTGAAGCCATAGCTATGCTCAAAAGTGAAGATGATGATAGAGCTATGAATTATAGATCAATCCCATTGATCTCAAATTTTGTGAACAGTTTCAAGAAAAAGTTGAAAATTTGATTTCAAAGTTTTAGGGACAAACATAACATTAGCAATGCTCATCGCTTTGAGTTATAAGGAGGGTAAAGTACTACAGATGCTATTGTTTAAATTACACATGTATTTAGTAAATTAGTAGATACAAATATCTCGGTATATTTTTCTAGTCTTAGAAAAGCTTTTTATACAATATCACAACATGGTTTTTTTATATTCTGACTTTCTGAATTGAAAGAACTATTAAATGTTCATTTTAAATATTCTTAATACCAAATCCCCCATCTTAATACCAATCCCCTCCCCCCCTTATTTTTCTTTTTTTAAATTTTTTACAATGCTCTAGTCCTTTTTATGGCTATTTTTATTATTTTCTTATTTTGTACTTTTATATTTCTGTCATTTTGAGTGTTATTTTCTTTTTTGTTAACAGTTCATCCTGTTTATTAAAATAAATAAATAATTTAATGAAATTTTCAAGATATACTGAATAGGTTTTAATGATATATCTTGTGTAACTATCAACAGGTGCAACAGTATATTACAATTAATATGTAGGAAGTTTGTGGAATTTCAAATCTTGTTTTTGCTCCTGTATCCGCTGCTTGAAGTGATGTAATTGTTTTAAACGAACAACTGCATCATATCACTAACATCATGTAGCAATACATTTTCATTACCAGAACTATTGTCACCAAATATTTCATTCGCTACAAAAGGAATTTCATCAGGATACAGTGATCTATCACTACCAACAGACATCCATTTCCTCAATAAAATACACAACATATTCTGAAGTCCATTTCTTTAAAACACAGGCATATTGATTAAATATTTATATATCAAATCATAACCTTCATGATTCATCGTTAAACAACTGCATTTGAATGCCATCCGATGATTTAATACACTATTTGAAAGCACATACTAACGATTGATGTGCTTGGCAGTGACAAAGAAAATATTAAAATGTAGATCAACACAATGGCAATGAAAGTGTTAAATATAGGAGTATATTACAAAAATTTGTTGGTTCAGTTGCCGGAGATAGACAAGGTCTTGTTGTTTTGTAAATAACATCCTTGACTTCGTAGTTTTCCATCCTTTTCAAAGCCACATTCTTTAAAATGATTAATGCAAACATTATATTTTGCAGTTTTTCTCCAATTCTTCCTTGGATTACAATGTTTCCATTTTCTTTGCGGTGAAGCACCTGAAGGAAATTCAAATACATTATCATCTGAATTATTGGCGTAATTACTCTGACAAGGCAGACAGCTTGGGCTTGGTATCTGAAAATATCGAAAGAAAATCCTTTGCAGAGCACTATTAATTAATCTAACATATTTCAATAAGTAGCAGGTATTTACAGATCTCTCTGGGCTCAGAAGAAATTATTGTATGTAAATAAACAAAAACCACTTTTTTTTTTCTTTCAATGTTAGCATGCAACATAACTCCTGCAGCAATTATTACTTAAAATATAATTATATATTGCATCTGATTTTTTTAAACTTATTGTCCTTTACTTGCTTGATAAAATAATACTTAAAATACAATATTAATTAAAGAACAGAAACAAATTCACTCTGTGCTAA